GCTTTTAGCCATTTTAAAATTTGAAAACTCTTGCACAAAGGTTTTCATTTTAAAGGTTTATCACCAATTTAGTTTTAAAGACACTCTTGCACAATATTTATTCCATAAGGGCAGATCGCAGCTGAGCATATAGCATCTTTTAGTACAGCTTCAGGTAAAAGCTGGCTATAGGATACTCTGGTTTTTCTGTTACACATTTCAATTTAAAAAAAAAAATGACACTGTTGCCAAGAGGTTAGGTATCTTAAGAACCAAAATAAGGTTCAATGTTCTCTTCAGAAGGTAGCTACTTACAAATGTTGCTACTGTACCTTAAACAAAAGGTTCTTTCACAACTCAAATATTGGGCTGTGGTTCCTTGCGCAAAAGTCATTCTTATGGCCAATTGCATGATTTATATGGTTAGACATCCATTTCTGGGACTATGGGATATTTGTAGAGGAGTTGCAATAAGTGCTGTTTGGGGATAAATATCAACACACATTGGCTATGTCTAGACTACCCGTGGCTTCCGAAAGAATATATGTAAATTAGGTGCGAATTTGCATATCTTCTTCTGATGCCTTTTTTGGAAGAGGGTGGGTTGTTTTTTTTTCGAAAAAGCAGTCATTTTCGGGGTGGGGGGTTAAAGTCTTCTGAGGCATCTAGGTGTGTGCTACTCAATGTTAACTAATTTATTGGCTTTCATTAGATGTGCCAGAAATCAATGATTGCTACAGCTTTTGCATCTTGTTCTTGAAGTTGATTCTTCATCTCTTGCCAGTTTACTGAGGGCAACTTATTCGTGTGGTATTAGGACTCAGCCTATTTGACCTCCTTCACAGATGAGCCTTTGCTTGCTGAACTAATTAAGGAATTCTGTTTGTTTTGCCGTGCTGTCTAGATGGGAAAACACTACTTGAAACTAGCAGAAGAAGATGATGAAGAACTCAACAACTGTAGTGCTGTTGACTGGCTGATTCTTGCTGCTAAGCAAGGTCGAAGGGAAGCTGTCAAACTGTTGCGTAGATGCTTAGCAGACAGAAGAGGTATGGGTTCTTTAGAAGCTTTTAACTCTTATATTTTTAGTATGTACTTTAGCTACAAATAATCTATCCATTAAAATATTGGAGAAATGGGTTAAATATACAGCAAAATCTGGGTTTATGTGTAGCACAATTATTTGAACAACTGCTGTTATTGTGTTAGAGTAGTTAATTAAAAGTACAACATATGATTTTGGGTATAGAAGAATTTGTGTCAATCATGTACTTGAATTCCTTCATTAGTTTCTTGTTTCTTATCAGATCTCATTGAAACTCTTTATTCTTGCCTTTAAGATTAATTTCACACCCCACCTACGTATCTGCTGTTATTCTCTTCTCCTGTCTCTCTCATTCTCCCTTTATTCTTCTCAATCCTCTCGCCTAATTGGTTCCCTGTATCATATTCTCCCACTTCTTCAAGATTCACGCCTTCCTTCATCCCACTTCCTACGCTTGGAGTAGTCTTCTTCATGTCTGCCAAAGATCTGATCTCTTTTTTTGAAACCCACTTCTTTACATAATACTTCCCACCTTGTTCTCATCACCCAGGCTCGCCCTGTCATCTTTTACCTGCACTGTTGTCCTCGTGTCTTGTCTCTAGAGAATATTACAGACTCTTGTGTCAGGGAACATATCTTATGCAATCCGTAAAGTGCGCTATGCTCTTTGAGAGATGTATCATTTTTGTTGGTGAGCTTGAACACAGAACAATTTAAGAAAATAGCAGTTAACTTGAGAAGATGAAGTATGAATCAACTTGTCTAAAAACTTAGAACTAAATGAAAAGACTTACAAATTGTGAGCATGTCTGTCACTTCATCCTGAGATGTGGGATGATAATATCTAATGCACTATTTTTTATTGAGGTATCACTTCTGAGAACGAGCAAGAAGTGAAGAAATTATCATCTGAGACTGATCTGGAGAGAGCTGTGAGAAAAGCTGCCTTAGTTATGTATTGGAAATTAAATCCAAAGAAGAAGAAGCAATTAGCAGTGTCTGAATTGCTGGAGAATGTTGGACAAGTTGACAATGAAGGTAGGTATCCAGTACCCCAGAAAAGAAACTGCTCCTGCATTAATGTCTCTGTTTAAAACAAAAAATTACAAGTAGAACTCCGCTTGAAACCTAAATGATTGCATAAAAAATAAAATATATGTGTAACCCATTAATGGTAATGACCAGGGCTCGACACATAATACAATCTGCTCGCCCGTGGCAAGTAGATTGTAACCCGGAAGGGCTGGGTTTCGGCGATCTGCGCAGCTGGCGAGTGGGGCTCGCCGTGGTTCGGCAAGCCCTGGTAATGACTGTTATCAGCTGCCCACTCTTATCTCGTTAAAGCTGACTCATGTACTGTCACAAGTCTTGCTTATGTATGGTAGTTTACTTAAGTACCCATTGAGAACCACCAAAGATTAGAAATGACTAAATTGTTCATCTAAATTCACTGTTTTTGATAAACATACTTTCATTTACGTAGAGTGCTTTGCTACTGATAGAAATCAGACTACCTTGCCAGATATTCAAATAATTAATTGAAAAACATATCACATATACTAATGATATAAACACTATTCTTTTTAAAACTGTAGCTATTAAGGCCACTCTCTCTGTTTTCAGAAAGGACATGATGAAATGAGTTCTGTTTTTAGCATAAGCTTTATGTTGCTGCTCTCTATCATGTTTTCAAGGAATTCAGCACATTCTCACTCAGGGTGCATCTACATTGCATCATTATTTTGAAATAACAATGCGAACGTCTACACAGCCATTCCGTTATTTCGAAATAACAAACAGCTTATTCCGAAATCTTTAAACCTCATTCCACGAGGAATAACATCTATTCCAAAATAGCTATTTCAAAATAGCATGTGTAGACACTCCACTGCTGCTATTTCAAAATAGTTCCTCACTAGGGCCATTCTAGTGCTTCCTGGGGCTCTAAATCGAGATAGCATGTCTGTATTAGGGAAGCCTGCCTTAGACTAATTTTGAGGCTTCCCTACAATGTAGACATGCTATTTCAAAATAAGCTATTTCGGAATAACTGTTCTGGAATAGCTTATTTCAAAATAGCTGTGCAGTGTAGATGTACCTTCAGTGTCTTGTGTTGCAAAAGAGTGGCAGACCCTCAGGATCACAGGAACATAACTTCAGAACATAAGAGTATAAGACTAGCCATACTGGGTCAGACCAAAAGTCCATACAACCCAGTATCCTCTCTGCCGTCGCTGGCCAATGCCAGGTGCCCCAGAGGAAGGGAACACAACAGGTGATCCTCATATGATCCCTCCCCGCCACCCATTTCCAGACAGAGGCTAGAGACACCATTCCTACCCATCCTGGCTAATAGCCATTGATGAACCTAACCTCCAGAAATCTATCTAGCTCTTTTTTGAACCCTGTTAAAGTCCTAGCCTTCACCACATCCTCTGGCAAGGAGTTCCAAAAGTTGACTGTGCACTGAGTGAAGAAAAATTTCCTTTTCTTTGTTTTAAACCTGCTGCCTATTAATTTCATTTGGTGACCCCTAGTTCCTATATTGTGGGAATAAATAAGTAACTTTTCCTTATTCACTTTTTCCACACCAGTCATGATTTTATAGACCTCTATCATATCCCCCCTTAGTCTCCTCTTTTCTAAGCTGAAAAGTCCAAGTCTTTTTAATCTCTCTTCATATGGGACCCATTCCAAACCCCTAATCATTTTTGTTTCCCATTTCTGAACCTTTTCACAGGGGCTGCTTTGCGGCAGGTTTGTTGTCCCTGAGTAGAAATGCCTTAAAGGATTTCTGCCATGATAAGACCTGGTACAGGCAGTCCCCGGGTTACGTACATGATAGGGACTGTAGGTTTGTTCTTAAGTTGAATCTGTATGTAAGTCGGAACTGGCGTCCAGATTCAGCCGCTGCTGAAACTGATCAGTTTCAACAGCGGCTG